ACCTTGCCACCAATCTAGTACAGCACTTAAATTCATAAAGTCCATTTACCATAGAGGAAAGTTCACTATATATATATATATATATATATATATATATATATGAATGCATATAGCACTTTAAATATATGTATGCCTAGATTAATATGTAATCATTAGACAGCATGGCTGAACTATTCAAGGGCTGATACTAAAGATGCATGACTATTTACATTATTTATAATCAGACTAACATCATCATCTGTGTTTTTAATATTATCACAATGATTCAGCTTACTCTAAAGAAAATAAATAATAACTCCTTATCAGAGAAATTATGGTTGATATGTTAGGAAAAAGCCAAGAAATTTTCATCCTAAAGTAATTTGTTATATTTAATAATATTAGGGAGTGTCATAAGCAATTTTCATTTTTAGAAGCCAATTGTAATAATTTTTTAGGAGTTAATTGTATCATTGTAACTAATTCTATGTGGCAGTATAAAATTGGAGAATACTAACATATGACAATGTTGAATGCAAAAGGCAGTGGACTAACAAGCAAGGATAAATCAGGAAAAAATTTGGGAATTTGGTTGGTCAGCTCTATTCCCAGCACCCACATTAACCTGACCTTGCACCAACTAATTATTACATTATTATTATGCTTTGAGGGAGGAATGTTTCTTTAATGAAAACTTGATTCAGGTTTTTGCTGAAAATTTTTTCACATCGAAATCTTTGAAATTTTACTCAAACATTATAGAAGAGATGCCTGATAAGTGGCAACAAGTCATTGCAAATAATATGCAACTGAATAAAATACAAGTATACATTATTTTTGAAGAAGTAAGTTGATAAACAAAATTCAATATTATTTATGACTAAATCTAATAGATTGTATGAAAATTATTTTCATTTTTTAAATCGCTAATTTGAATTCATCTTATTATTGTTAGATTCATTGAAGTGAATAAATGAATTCCTGAAAAAGTCATTCATTGAGATTTTTTTTAAAAACTTTCCAACAGAGCAATACGAAGATAGCATTGTAGTTCTTGTGAATAAATAAACAACATCTACATATTCTGGAAACTTGAATGACAAGATGGCTGGATTGAGAAATAGGATCAGAATACATGCATGAAAGGAAAAGATGGAAAGAATCCTTAATGTAGGGAAATGATGATGAGAAACGTTTGAAAAAGAACACAATAAAAAGGAAAATGGGGTTTGGAGGAGGAGCAAAAAAGAAAAATAAATAAAAGAATGTAGACAAAAAAAAAAGAAAGTAGGTAGAGAGAAAACTGCAGGTGAGACGGAAAATTGTAAGTGAAAGAAATGAAAGAGAATAAAAAAATAAGAATCAAACAAAAAACATGGCAGTAAAAGATGAAAAATGGAGAAAGTATCAAAATAAAAGAAATATCCAAGTTTATCAAAAGCATTTTTGCTCTGATCACATTCACTCTATTAACATATATACATACTTTTTTTTTTACTTTATATAACATATCTCAACCTAATATAAATATAAAAATAACTGATGAACTGATTCTGTTATGATGATCAGAAGATATATCAATCTATTTCCATTATTTACACTTGGACCATTGTACCTGATCTTTGTCGTTGTTATCACAGAGTTTTGGTCATTGTACACTCTGGCCTTCATCAGGAGCCTGTCAATCCAAGTAATCATCTTGAAATTTTTAACTGAACCCCTTATCTAATCTACAGGAGTGGAGTGTTCTTGTCTCACAGAACATATCTAGGTATTTTTTTAAAGCATTTCACCCCAAGCAAGGCAGGAGAGCCTTGTAGGGGGTTACAGACTGCATATAGAGGGAATTGAGGAAAGGATAAAAGAAGAATGGGGATCATGGCAAGAGAAGGTGGTGATTGATGTTGCATTTAAATTTTTGAAGTTTGTAGTTATCAAGGAAGCAACTAGTTCCAATTTAGTATTTTCAGGTATGGCTAGCCCCATTTCCATCAAGTCTAAGTCTGTCCTACCTGGCCCAGGGACTGAATCCGTAATTACTATGTCACCAAATTTCTAAATTAATTCTTTAATCCACTAGCCTATTGTCCTCTGGTACTGCATCCATCAGCTTGTGTGTTCACTTTCTGACCGTTTATGCGTATTGGGAGTAGTGACATTTCTTTCTACTTCTGGATCTTTTATTTTGGACTTTGTTTATTTCATTGTGGAAGTGAGCTCTCATATAAAATTCTTTTTAACAAAATCTACTTGATATTGGTGGTTATGACTAGGGCCTATAAGCCTATAGATAGGCAATAATATTCTCAGTCATTCTCTTTCCTCCTTTACAACTCTGGCTAAACATGGGAAAAAAAGTGTCTGCTAATGGGGGACATTTATTTTCAATGTCTTACTTTTCTCTCATGAATTTTTGTGCTCTTTCACACACATATCTATGATATAAGCCTACACAAACTCACATTCTCTAATTTAAATGCTTTATGAAACTAGTCTTTAAATGTTTTCTTCTTTTATTGTAATTATAATAGTTGTTGATACATACATTGTCATTTGTTTTATATTATTTTGTGTTACTCATATATTCATCATCATCATCATACTTCAACATCCCTGTGGTTGGTTGGAACTCAATTAACAATCCCTTTCCACACTGCTCAGTCATGCATTGCCATTCCAAGATCCCCAATGTCCAACCCTTAGTACTGAGCCATGGTGCCTGGGAAAGTCAACATTCATGAGAAGACACATCCAAAAGGATGCCATAGAAGTAAGGATGAGATGACCTCCCTGCCTACGCTTATTTGAGCTTAACAGAAACTCCTGCTTTAACTTCAAAGGAATCAATCTTGCCATCAAACAAATCAATGATGGCAGTGGTGTTTCTGTACAGAGCTCTAATTGCCACAATTGCATGGAGGGTTGACGGAATCAAACACCTTGCAAAAGTCAACAAAACAGATTGTGACCTCTTGGTTGAATTTTTTCACCACTTCTAGTATGAGGCAAATGGAGAGGATTAGCTGACCGGCCTCTTCTAAATTCATTCTGGTTCTTGTGGAGGTGTGGATTAATGGTAGAGACAATCCTTTTTAGCAGAAGCTTATTGTGAACTTTTTCTGCAATTAGCATGAAAGTTATACCCCTATAGTTTGCCACACTTGTTAGATCACCATTTTTGGAAGAGGGACTATTCCACCTTTCAGTCAAGATGGCGGCAAATATTGCATCAATGTGTGGTTGTAAAACTGAAGAAGATCATGAAATATTGGATCTTTCCACAATAATGTTGGTATGTTGTCAAGGAGGAGGCATGGTGGAGTAATGGATAGTGGCTCAGATTGAGGAATCAGAGAGTCGAGTTCAAATTCCAGTCGAATCCATTACATTCACTTACATGCTAATACCCTTGGAAAAGGTATTAATCCTCTTATTCTCCTTCCAGCTATAGGGTAAATAGCAGGACAGACCGGGTTCTATAGCCTTGGATGGCAATTGGTCTACCACAGAAATAAATGGCAATCTACTGGGGGAAAAAATCTGCTTCGTTACTCATGTTTCAAAAGATGCATGATCACCTAAGCCTGTATCATGCATGGCACATAACGGACTGATGTTGTCAAGGCCTGGAGATTTCTTGTTGGCAAAATCTTTGTGTGTTGTTTTGAGTTCATCAAGCATAAATAGTTTGGTGTTTATGTCCAGTGTATTGAATATTTGATATATTGGGAGTTCCTTAAAGAAGTCAAACCAGTTAGTTTTATGATTTTCAGCACAAACTCCTTTGAACTGAATATATTACTTGGACTCATATTCATGTCCAAAATAATTGTTACAAGAAAAATATACTAGGGAGGCATGTGTTTTCTACATAATCACAACAATCTTTCCTCCAACAATATAAATCTTTGCTTGTCATCACCTGCTAAATCTTCCTTATGTAGGCTCCCACAAAAGAACTTCACTAATAATTTTGTCTTTAGCTCTTCAGCAATGCCCTGCACATCTGACTCAGATGATGTCTGATACTGGATGAAGCTTCCCATACAATCAATCATTCTTCTTGTTAGGGATTACAAATAACTAGAAAACAAAGAAAACTATACTAAACTGTTATGTAATATCAGTCACCCCTATATGGCAGTGAATTCTGGACAATCTCCTCACTGATGAAGAAGAGACTTAAAGCAACAGAAATTTTATACATATGTTAGATGAATGAAGACTAATTTCTCTGTAACTGCAATGTCACCTATTTTGCTACTTCCATTTGAGGATCAGAATCAGTGCTGGCATCCTACCAAGTCTTAAAATTATACAAGTTTAGCAAACCGGTTACTGGATTATCTGAAAATAATTTTATATATTAATAGCCGAGATTTAATAGCTAAAAATTTAATACCATTGCTGTAAGTTCAGCAGAGATTGAAAGAGAGTTTTCCTTGATGAGCATAACTTATTCTGACAAAAGAAAGTTGAAAATATGGTAAATCTTCTAGTCATAAATTTGATAGGTCTTCCATTGGATCTTTGAGACTGCAGTGATTGAGTTTGAATCTGGCTATGAAACCATACCACATCTGATGACATGAAAGTCAAAAAGCCTCATACTTCTGAACAGAAATATGATGAGAATAGAATTTCAATCAGAAAATATCTTAATAAATAAATGTTTTCTATTAAATTATCAAAATGGTTCAATTCTTTTTGATACTATAAAGTGATTTGTTTCCATTCTGAGATTGAAAAGAAAATAATCAGAATAGGTTCTTAAAGATTACCTGTCTTTATAGAACCAGTTCCTGGAAATTTGGTTGTTTGGCTGTATTTGTTTAATGGCACATCAACCTGTATGGTTTATTTAATGCCAAAATCTGAATATTTTTGTATGCGATTTTATTTTTGGGGGGAGATAATATTTTAATGATACAAATCTTGCTAATTAACCCATAGCTGGGGGTAGAAGAGGTAGATTCATAACTCTCCCAAGGGTATTTGTGCATAACTGAATAAAATCCAAGCTTACAGCACCTGATATTCCTAAGGGGTCACTCATCTAGGTACTGATCAAGCTCAACATTGCTTAACTTTGGTGATCATATGAGGACCTGGTGTTTGAACATGATGTGGTCATTTCCCAGTTTTTCAATAAGATGTTGTACATCGGGATCCAAATTATGGATAAATTGTTGTTTTATTCAAATACTTAGTTTATGTTGCTTAAATTAAGTGTTCGTATAGGAACCAGTATTTCAATATATGGCCATATGTCTGCTGGAATTTTAGGATGTCATAATTGGTCAGAGTGTATCAGCAGTGTCTGACATGGTGATGCAAACATCTATAACAAAATTAACTATATAACATGTATATGGTTGTTAGCAAAAGGAACAGGCCATCATGCAAATTACAAACTGGGAATACCAAAATTAAACAAGTACAACAATTTAAATAGCTGGGAAAAGACGATAGAAAATGCGACATTAAAATTATGAAGGTTTATTGGGATAGTGAAAGACACCTTCCAAAGATAAGCAAAATATTGAAAAGCAGAAAAATTTAATTAGAAAATTTCAGTCCTCCTATATAACAATGAATGGTGGACAATCTCAAAGATGAAGAAAACACTTGAAGCAACAGAAATCTGGTTCTACAAAAGGCTACTGTGAATACCATGAACTGAATATGGAGTAATGATGAAGTTTTAGACAAAATGGAAACAAAAAGGAAGAGAGAACTGAAATTTCTAGGATGCATAATGATTAAAGAGCACTTGGAAAATTTGACACACACAGGACATAATGAAATCAAGAGAGAATAAAGCAGCACATCATTTACTTAATAAGTTTGTGTAAATGGACGGCAAAATAGGGTTCAGGAAAGATAGCAAAAATATAGAATTTACTAAGAGCTACAAAGGACAGGAAAGTGAAGAGATATGATCACCAATGTCCTGATGGGACATGGTGTATAGAGGAAGAATTCACTTCTGTTCATATCAGGCATTTTCATTATGCATTTCAAATCCTTTCAAAGTGTAATTCTTCTTCCTGTCCTTTGTAGCTCTTAATAAATTTTGTCATTTCTTCCAAACGCTGTTCCACCATCAACTTTGTCAAGCTCACTAAATGTTATACATTGTTTTCCTCTGTCCCTCTTGCCTTCAATCCATTCTGTGAGTATCAGTTTTTCCAGATGTTATGTGTAAGCTTCCTTTTTGTTTCCATTTTCTCTAGAACATAATCATTGCTCACATATTTGGTCCAGGGTATCCTCAGCATCGTTCTGCAGAAACACATTTTTGTTGCTTCAAGTTTCTTCTTTGAAGAGATTGTCCAGCATTCACTGCCATATAGGAGGACTGATATTATATAACAATTCAATAAATTTTTCTTTGTTTCTAACAAAATCTTCCTCTTTCTTAATACTTTGCTTAGCTTTTGGAAGGCATTTTTTGCTACCCTAATGCACCTTTGGATTTCAGTATCACACTTTCCATCCTCTGTTAAAACACTTCTCAGATATTCAGTTTTTTTTTTACTTGTTTGATTTCGGTGTGAAATGAAATTTCACAACTGGTGGGCTTCATTCCTATATTCTTGCATTAAGCGACAACTCTAAATGCCAGCTTTGATTGACTGTGGATTGTAAGATTTCATGGAAGATATGCAGTATGTTTACATGAAGAACGACTTTAAAGAAAGGTCATGTGAATAAATTAATCATCAGATAATATTTTTTAAAAATGATGATGATATCAATGAACATGGAAAAACAACTTCTTAATCATAAATTCTGAACCACATATTTTATATGCCATGTCTCTTCTGTACATGTATGATCATGGCTCTTTTCAACTTCCTATCCTTTTTATAGCTCTAAACAATGATTGTCTCCTTACTATCATTTCCATACATTGTTCTGCCATTCATTTACACAGGCTCATTTAGGTCGATTACTAACTGCTTCTATCTGCTCCTCTGAACCACATATTTTATATGCCATGTCTCTTTTGTACATGTATGATCATGGCTCTTTTCAACTTCCTATCCTTTTCATAGCTCTAAACAATGATTGTCTCCTTACTATCATTTCCATACATTGTTCTGCCATTCATTTATACAGGCTCATTTAGGTCGATTACTAACTGCTTCTATCTGCTCCTCTTGCCTTTAGTATGGCCAGCAAGTATAGCTCCTGCTTAATTTTTATTTTATCTTTATAGCTATGATTTTAATTATTTATCTATTTAACTGTTTTATATTTGGGCAACAATCTTTTTTCCTGTTCTTCTATATGCCATATCTCTTCAGGTCATTGGCAGTCATGACTCTCCACAATTTCCTTTCCTTTGTAGCTCTTAGTAAATTTTGTAATTTTTTATCTCTACTAAACTCATCTGCCATTCATCTATTTGCTAAGTAGATTAAGCATTGTTTTCTTCTGTCCCTCTTGCCTTCAGTATATTCAGTGAGTATCAAATTCTCCAAGCCCTTATTATATGTCCCAAAAACTTTTACTCCCTCTTTCTGCTTTGAAGCAAAAGTGTCCTTATTTACATTATTCGGACTATTGTCCTCATCTTTGTCGCCATATTTATCACAACGTTTCGGCCGTTGTATGCTCTGGCCTTCTTCAGGTGGTTGGAATGTCGAACTGAACCCTTTATTTCGCTCACTGGGGTAGACTGTTCTAGTTCCACGGGCCATGTTTAATGGATGTCAGTTATCAGTTATCTCCTGTTAATTTCCCTCTGAAAGTTCTCCACTGCCTTAACCGGGTATTGAACTCACACTCTTTGGGTCCTGTCACTGGATCTAACCAAGCCTCTATCCACTGTGCCATGTGTCCTTGAGGATGTTTGTGCACAGAAAGTCAACATCTCCATCAGATTATCTATAATAACAATTATTATATTGTTATTATTAATTGTTATGATAACAACATAGTTGCAATATGAGCTCTGGTAAAAACATGCAATGATAACAGCAAAATTGCAATATGAGCACTGATAAAAATGGTTACTGAAGACATTAGGTTTATAATACCCAGAAATTCATACCCAGATGTCCTCAAGGACACATGGTACAGTGGATAAAGGCGTTGGTTAGATCCAGTGACAGGTGTGAGTTCAATAACGTTGTGATAGATATGGCGAAAAAGATGAGGACAATAGTCCAAATAATGTAAATAATGTACATAATACCTCATCTCAGAAATATAGACAGACCTTGTTCCCACTTTCTTTAAAACTTCCTTGTTACATAGCAGTTCATCACTTTTTTCTCTGTGTTTAATGAAATTTTGTTTCTGTTGGTAGGTTTCTCACTGTTTCTCTCTAGCACTTCTTGCCTTCAAAATACCCTGATAGTGTCGAATTCTTCAAGCCCTCTTTCCTCAATATGTATCCTAGAAATTTCAACTATCTCTTTCTGATCTTATGCAAATGTATCCTCCTTACATTATTTGGACTATTGCCCTCATCTTTGTTGCCATATTTATTACAACGTTTCGGCCATTGTACACTCCAGCCTTCTTCAGGTGGTTGGAATATCGAACTGAACCCCTCATTTTGCTCACTGGGGTAGACTGTTCTAGTTCCATGTGCTATGTTTAATGGACATCAGTTATCAATATGTCAAGGATACATGGCACAGTGGATAAAGGTGTTGGTTAGTTCCAGTGACAGGACCCAAAGAGTGCGAGTTCAATACCCGGTTAAAGCAGTGGAGAACTTGGAGATAACTGACAACTGACATCCATTAGACATGGCATGTGGAACTAGAACAGTCTATCGCAGTGAGTGAAATAAAGGGTTCAGTTCAACATTCCAACCACCTGAAGAAGGTCAGAGTGTACAATGACCAAAATGTTGTAATAAATATGGAGACAAAGATGAGGACAATAGTCCAGATAATGTAAATAGTGTAAATAATACCTCATCTCAGAAATATAGACAGATACTGCATCCTTTTTGTTTTGATTTCCATTAAAGCTAGCTTGTCCTTCTGGAGAACCACATTTCTGTTCCCTCAAGCCTCCTCTTCATCTTTGAGGAGATTGTTCAGCATTTACTGCCACTTAGGAGGGTGGAATTACGTAGTTCAGCACACTTTTCTTTGTTTTCCATAAAAATTTACTGTTTCTTAATACTTTGCTTAGCTTATTTTAATAAAAAAATGAGGATACATTTTCATTAAGTTTTCTTGAGTGCACAGACTGGTAGACATAATCAACAATTTAAAAAAAAACAAGAACAGTGTCGACTCAAATATGGGTAACCACTAAAAATAATATTTGACGTAATAGAAATACGTTGGATTAAAAAATAAGATTCATTAATTCCTTAGAAATATGTCTACACAAATGAAGCCACCCATATCTAAACAGCCTAATTTGCAGATATGTATCTTGTGCAATAAAAGAGATATGATTATGCACACATATGCACATCTGTGTGCATGAGGATAACTCTGCTATTGCACAAGATGCACCTGCATACATTTGCACATTCAAGTGATTACCTCTGATGTAGTGTAATGGTTAGCAAGCTTGTCTCACTAGATTAATTATGACTGCATAGTGAGTTCAATCCTCACTGTGTGCTCCATTCTGTCGGCCTTGTGCCACATCTACACTACACTTAAAAAAATAAATATTTGCATATTCAACTTCATAAGCATATCTTTGTTATTCAAGCTAGCTTGACTTGCTAGATTAATTACAAGTGAGTTTGGTCCTCACTGGATGTCCCATAAAAGCTATGCTTAGAAAAATGGCACTATAAAGGGCAAGCTTGTCTTACTAAATCAATTATGACTGAATAATGAGTGTGATCCTCACTAGGTGTCCCATACTTTCGACCTTATGCCACATCTAAGCTATACATAGAAAATAACCATTTGCACATTCAATTTCATATAAATATGTTTTTTTAATCATTTCATCCCATACTAAGATGTAGTGGGTTACAGGGAGTGAAAGAGAATGAGAAAATGTGAGTGAGGAAAAGGACAACAAAGGAACAGGGTTCAGGAAGACAGCAGATGACAACTGACATTTCATTTGAAGTTTTGAAGATTTTAGGTGACAGAGAAGCAAGAAATCAGAAATGATTTTCACGGGCAAGAAG